GGCTCTCTCCTGTGGAGCGTTGATTTGGTTGCAGGCGGTGCTTCGGACAATTCCAGCTCTTTCAAACTTCTGCTTGCTGAATTCGAAGTTAGTTCATTCTTCACCAGGATAGAAACGTTTCAGCTCCCCCGTTGTTTTAGAAATTGACAGATAGCACAGCAGCCGATGCTACAGCGCAACTCTGTGAGCCTGGATATCTAACGTGTGTGTTGTCCATTACCTTGGCATGTATTCCTGAAAAAGGTTGGATTTGTCAAGACTGCCGTGAGTGCTGGTGTGTTTTGGAGTGCCAGGTGGATGAGGAGCATAAACACGGGCAGGCTCAAAGGTTGCTGCTGATGTGAACACCAGATTTTCCTGGCTTTGTGGCTATTACAATGCTGCTGGTTTTCCTTTCTTACCTGTGATTGATGCAATGCATTGTATCAGCCTTTTCATACTCCTGGTCAAACGGGATTCTTTCTAGAGGAGAAAAAGTACTGACATGAAGGGTGAAGTTCTGCACTCAATTGTGTAAATGCTTGTTTACAGAAACACCACCTCAGCTGGGTGCAAGGGAGCTGTAATTCCATTAATGGGCTCTGCTGGTGACAGAAGCCTCAACAGGAAAGCTCCAGTGTCACTCGAGCCCTTACATGGAAATACAACTGTAATTCATGCAGATTTGCTGAGAGCTCTTTTAATATTAATGTTGAGCATGCATGGTACTACTGAAATGCCTTTGAAGCACTGAAAACCAGGAGTATTTGTAGACTGAGGCTTGGAAGCCAAAGGAAGCAATTAGATCTCCTGCTCTGACCCCTGACTGCTGTAGTCAGTTGGATTTCACCCAGTTACTCTTGAATGCAGTAACGTGTATTTGGCTGAAGCGTGTTTTCCAGAAAAATTGGGATTTTGATCAGAAGACAGTGAGCGGTAGAGGATCTGCTGTTTATTAAGTTATTTGGCTTCAGCTTCCAGTCACTGGTTAATGATGTGCCTTTCTCCACTGTGCTGAAGAACTCAAAGTATTTTCTTACCATGGAAGTATTTATCTGCTGTAACCCAGTATTCCCTCTCTTTTCTACTTGAAAAACCAAGTGAGCTGAAATTCTTTAAATTTGTCACTGCATGCATTTTCCTCACAACTCAGTTTCTGGGGATTGTTTTTTTTTTTCAAATCCACTTTTTCAGCATTTTTATGAAAACGTGAGCTGGATGCAGCACACCAGAGCTTTGTCTCAGGAGTGTTTTGTGTGTTTAAATATTACCTGTCTGGTGTTACTCTCCTGCCTCTGCATCACATTTACATGTTAAACCTTCATTTGCAGCCCTGCATTTTGATCTCCTTTTCTCTGGGTACTCTCACTGTGGCAAACCCTTTGCAGGGCTGTTTCTTTCCACAAGAGTTCATCATTCCCTAGACTGGCATGAGTTTTCCTGATTGCAGCTTTACAACTTTGTACGTGGCTTTTTTAAATAACATTTTGTTTCTGGCATTGATTGATTATACCCAACACTCCTGATGGCTTTTTGGAACTGATTTATCTCAGTTATGTAGCGCTCTATCAATTTCTACTTGTGCAAATTATGTCATGATTTATGGTGTAGACTTACAAATAATTGAAAAGGTGTTTTGTGGTAGTGGCTCTCCTTTGGGGATCTCCATGATAATCTGGGTTATGTTGTGATGAGTTCTTCTCAAAAGCTGCTCTTTTTTCTTTTTGAGGTGTCACTTAACCAGTTCTTCACCAGTTTAATTGGCTCTGTTTGGTTGTCAGGCTCCCACAGAACACTGCACTAATGCCAGAGAAGTTTATACAGGCAGACAGATATTTCTGCCAGTTGGAAGTATCAATCATTTTAGAAAGTCAGCTTTCATTATTTTACTTCCTATTATTTGTTACAGAGCTCTGAGGTATCAGTTGAGTCCCCTATAATTTCTCTTAAATTATTGTTTTGTTCAGAACTGCCATTGTTCTGACCTTCCTATGGTTGCAGCCACAGCATATTTGTAACCTAAATGTTCATTCAGACTGCTGGAATTACCCCAGGATTTTCAGAATTCCTAAAAATCCATGCTGGTAGGACAGAGAACTCCTTGGACACTTCTGGGAGTGCTTCTCCATGGTGATCTTTGGTCCTGCTGACCAACAATATTTACTGCAGAGTAACACTGTTTTAACATGGTATTTACAATGAGATGGAAAAGTAATTAATTTTCTCATGAGGTACCAGGGAATCATCAACTTCTTTGCACATGCAGAATTACTCTTTGAGTGCATCTGTCCTTTTGCACTATTGGTGTAGCTCAGAGTCCCTGTTCAGCACCACACCTGTGTGACAGCTGAGATTTCTTTTGTTCCTGCAGTTCCCCCTTGCTTTTTTTTCCTGCTGCCAAGAAATGTCTTCATCCTCACCTATTAGTTTTTTACACTTACTCTTTCAAAAAGTATGATTTTTTTCGTCCCTTAACACTTTTCCTCTTGTTACATATGAATTATAACCACAGTATTTATTGAAATCTGTTTTGTGGCCAAATTGTAGTAGTTATGACAATGCCTTGCAGGTATTACATGCTGTCTGAGCACACCAGCATGAGATTTTTTTTTTTTTTTGCCTGTCTAGAACAAGAGAAAGATGTTTTGTTACATTTTAGGTGAGTAGGCTTTGCTTTTAATACAGTTTATTCTAAGGCTTGGCTAAAGAAAGCTGAACTCTTTATCCACATGTTTCACAGTTTGTTCACAGGTGTATAAAGCAAAGGAATACTTTGAATTTAGATATAATATCAAATGATCATGGGAAGATGAAGGGCAGCTATACAGAAATAATAAAAAAAATATCACAGAATGGTTTGGGTTGAAAGAGACCTTAAAGCTCATCCAGTCCAATCCCCTGCCATGGGCAGGGACCTTCACTATCCCAGCTGCTCCAAGATCCAACGTCCAACCTGGCCTTGGACACTTCTATGGATCCAGGGGCAGCCACATCTTCTCTGTGCCTCACTCACAGGGAAGCAGAAGTAAATAAATAACACAATATGCAGCTGGAAATGAGAAGGGCAATGTGCAGAAATGAAGAGTAGCAGCACTAACCTGTTAGTCTTTAGAGTGGCATGCTTAGGACATAACTTGATGGGAGGTTTTGTGGCTCAGGTCTGTAGGAATTCCTCCCTTCGAGCTGCTTTAGGTGAGATGCAAGGAGGAGATGTGAAAAAGACCAGAATGGGAAGATGAAAGTTACAAAAAGAAAGCTGTATTACACAGGAGAGTGAGAGCTACTCCTGACTGTGATAAACTTGTTGATTTCGTATAAACACTGCATTTGTTGCATTTGTTGGGATTGAGTGCTGTGAAAACACTGCGGAGGCACAGCTTTCCGAGGGAGCAGGGGCAGCTGAGGCTCTCATTCCTCTCTGGAGCTCCAGCACTGATGGGGGAGATCCTCCAGCTGGATCCACAACACCTGAACCTGGCTGGGAGCGAACTGAGTCCAGACTGCCCTGAGCAGCGCTAGGAAGGATAAAAGACAGGATTTTTTAAAGACTACTGTAAAAAAAAAAGGTTGAAGTGACAACAAAGACCAGAAATCAGGTTTATTGTATTAAAAAAGTGATTGATAACTCAGTTAACACCATTGCAAGTTGTGTTAACCACTGTTAACACCACTGTAAGTTCTGGTGCCCCCAATATAAGAAGGACATGGAATTGTTGGAGCAAGCCCAGAGGAGAAGCCAAGAAGTTGTTAAGGGGACCAGAGAGCATCTTCCCCATGGAGACAGGCTGGGAAAGCTGGGGTTGTTCAGTCTGGAGAGGAGAAGGTTTTGTGGAGACCTCACAGCACCTCCCAGTGTCTGAAGGGGCTCCGGGAAATCCAGAGTGGGATTCTTCATCAGGAACTGCAGTGACAGGACAAGTGATATGTTCAAACTGAAAGAGGGGAAATTTAGGTTAGAAATACAGAGAAATTCATCCCTGTTAGGGTGCTGAACCCTGGCACAGGTGCCCAGAGAAGCTGTGGCTGCCCCTGGATCCCTGGAACTGTCCAAGGCCAGGTTGGACAGGGCTTGGAGCACCCTGGGAGAGTGGAAGATGCCCCTGCCCATGGCAGAGGGTGAAACAAAATAGTCTTTAATAAGTCCCTTCCAACCCAAACCATTCCACGATCCTATTCTGATTTTAAGTTATTGCATTGCTTCTTACTGTCTTAGAGGAATCCATGGTGCATCTAAATATATCCCAGAGTGATAACGCTGTTGTATCAAGTCTTTGGTTGGGCAGGCTCAGCACTCTGCAGCTGGAAATGAATTTTGTATCAGGTTTCTGGATAAGAGCTCCACATCTCAGTTTTCCCATGGTCTCCTCAGCATCACACATGGAGTGAGCAGTGATATCTGGTTCCAAGCACTGGTTGGTTACAGAAAGGCTTTCCTGAATGTTTCCAAACACTAGCATAGGTTGAAGTCATATTTATCCAACAAAAGATCAGCTGCTCTGGGGAAATAAACTGCTGTGACCATCAGTTACCAGTGCAGTTGGTTGCAAGGCAGGATGTTTGTGTTCTTTGTGTTTTGAATAATTTTTTGTTTTGGCAATAAACAAACAGGTGAATTTTAAAATTGCCAGCAAAACGAACAATCTTTCCCCTAGCAGGACTCCCCCCACCCCCCTACACATTTTATTGTTTCAGATGTCTTGTGCTGTCATCAGACAAAGCATTTTGACTTTGTTAGAGGCAGGAGGAAAGCTTTTCTCTAGTTTTTCTTTGGTTGTGTGGGCAGAGCACACCTTTCCTTGGAGTACTTCAGCTCTGCTGAATCAGCATTTTCTGATAGCCAGGCTTTTTTTTTTTTTTTCTTCCTCTTTTTTTTTTCCTCCTTTGGAATATTTTTTGTCTAGCTGTGCTTTTCAGCCACATCACCCCCTGCATTAGTATTCTGCTACAGAGAACAGTGGAGAGACATTTTCAGCGTTGCAGCAGAGACTGCTCAAGTTTTCAGGCTTCTTAAGTAATGAGAATTGCTCAGTTAAGGGAAGCTGAATCCTGTGACATTAAAACCATTTCACAGGGGTTGCATTTGGGAGGTAAGAAAACCAGTAGATTTTGTAGTTACACAAAAGAATTTCTGTGTTCAGAGTATTTTAAAGATGTTTTTGTAGATACTCCACTCTGCTGTTTTTACTGGTGTTACAGTCATTATTATGTGACATTTCTTTCTCCTGTGGACTTGTCCTTTTCTTTGAAGCTTTGTATTAAAAAAGCAACAAGCATATGTTACAATGTGCTTAATGCAGACAAGAATAATCAAATGGAAGGCAATTTGAGTGTAAGTGGAACTTAAATTCTGAACACAAAAAGTGGAAGTGGTTTTGGTCAGGGGAGGCTCCCAGTGGCCCAGGTGACTTCTGTAAATGGGGCTTAAGCTTTTAAGTTACTTAAAGCTTCTAAATGGATTATTCACTTTGCCCTTTTCTACAGCTAATCAAGCTTAATTTTTAATATGCTGTTATTTACTAACAAAACGCACTCACTCTTGCATATTTCATTTTTGTGGCATTTCTCCATTAAAGTCCATTCAGCACAGCAGGAGCAGCTGAATCTCTCACTTCTCTCAGTTGTTCTTGTAAGGAAAGCCTCAACTGGAAATATTCCTTATGCTTTAAACACAGAAGCTGCGTCCATCCTGTGCAGAGCTGACAAAACCACTTTTATCAGTTCTCTATGTCTTTTCAAACATCAAAAGGAACTCCAAAAGGCTTCTTCCTAGAGACTGAACTTTCAAGTTAGACTGTGGAGTAAAGCACTTAAAAAATGTTGTAAAATGTTGGTCAGTGCTGGTTTTAGTTCTGTTGCAGTGCCATCACGTCAGTGGCAAGAGCTGTGTCCTTACCGGACGATCCACACTAAGAAAAATGAATAAAATCTTTCAAAAAGAGGCATAAAAATTATTTGCAAACAGATAATCTGAGGCACTTGTTTTTATGTATTGAGATACTTTTTTTTCTCCTTTGCTACTTCTAGAAAAACATTTTGTTGTATGCTTTTTGGGATACTGAAATTTCTTCTTCAAGGCTGTTCTGTAACTTTAAACTAATTCAGAGGGTTCTGTAAATTAATATCTTTAAGTAAATCATGAACATAATCAACAGAAAATAGGTGTGATGTCCTCTGTCATTAAATACTAACTTTCTTGAATGTTGTTATCAGGCTTCCTTCCAGATATAAAATTACCAGCTGTGGTAAGTTACTCAAGATTAATTCTTCATGATATTTGTGGAGAAACTTTGAATATAGAACCCAAATACTACTTTTTTCTTCTGCATATCTGTAAAACAATCATACTATGAAAATGGTTATTTTATTTTTTACAAGAAGAGAACAAGATTGATTCTAGAAATTTTTTACTGTGACAGAATATTTAAGCAAAATTGTGTCATCTGTGTTTGCTTTTGGTAGAAGATTTATCAAAGTGCTTCATAAATTGTTATGCCATGGTTACAAATGTTGACTGTTAAGGTAAAAGAGTGTAGAGACTTACAAGGAAAGGTGTAAAATGCATAAGTACTAAAATACTAAAGGAGAAAAGCCCAGAGTAATCTGGAGAATAGTAAAATATAAGGAAAATATAATTGAAAATATAGGAAAGCTGATTACTTTAATTCTTGCAATTAAAATCCACGGGTGACTCTTTAAAATGAAGTTAGAGAATAGCAAAGAAACAACTTCCATAAAAGTGCCATTTGTTATCTTTTTTATTTTTCCACCTTAATGGGGTCAAAGTGAGAGATTCACATATTTTTATTGCAGCACATGAACTCCTTCCTAATTCTTGTGCAGATAGTCTTCAGTGCTTACTATAATCAAGTCAGAAATGCAAATTCAGAATTACAGCTGCTTAGTCTAATTTTAAACGTCTCTATTATCTCCGTCATCTCCATTCCCAGGGCTTGGATGCTCCCAGAAATACTTCTAAGAACAAGAAATCCTCAGGAAGGCTGTGAATGAAGGAGGATGAGGTGGAGCAGGGGGAGAATCGGGATGAAAATGCTCTGACAAATGTCCTGCTCAGCAGGAGCGCGGCTGTTAGGCTGCAGGGTTGGCTGAGCTTTCCTTGCCTTGCATGGGTGGCCCATGCTCCTCCTAAAATTCAAGCTGCATTTTATTTAGTGTGTTTTGGACTCTTGGCCTTGCTGAGTGTTGTTTCTGGGTCACATCTGATACCCAGCAAGAGCAGGAAGGTGAAGAAAAGGAAAGAGGAGAGCTATTTCTATCCTGTGATTTAATCTTCCTCGCGTGGCTCAGGGAGAATTCTGTGTGTGGCTGAGGCAGCAAACTGAATCCCTCCATGCTCTCGCACACTCTTGCATCCTTGAACAAAGTTGTTTTTTTTTATTTCACACTCAAATTCCAATCCTTGCATTCAGGCCTGAGCCCAGGGGATGCAGGTGAGGGTAGAGGAAGTGCTCAGGTGATTTTGAGGTGCTAAAGAGCAGTGGGGACACAAGTCCTGGGCAGGATTGTCTTCTACTGATGCAGGGTTTGGATGTAGACCAGCATCAAATCTTACACACGTTTTATCATTCTCTGTATGTTTTCCTTACCTTCTGAATAATCTAAGTGCATTTCCAAAGCATTTTCTGCAAGTACTTTGTGGTTTGCTTTGTTCTAATTCTGTACTTACTGCCAATTTTGTTTACAAATTCAGCCTAAGAACTAGACAATGTCTATGTTCAGATATTTACTTTCACTTGGCTGCGTAAGAAACAACATTTCATTATTATTTTCAATTATATTTAATACATTTAAGTATAATTTCCTTAATGTGATCAGTGAAACTATCACCTTGCTTCTTGTGGAGTCTTCTTGGAGCACCAGCCAAAAGGTATTGAATGGTCCCAGGTGATCTCAAACGCTGCAGCACAGCCTAATTTACATGACAGAGTAGTATGGAAGCATACATTTTGTGCAAACATAGCCAAAAAGCCTTCAGAATTAATGTCTTGAAGTAGTTGAGAAAGCTGAGTGACTGTAGTAGCCATGGTAACTTTTTTTCCCTTTTGCTTTTAAGTAGAAACCTCAGTGATTACAAGGCTCTGTGTGAACCTTAAGCTGGGGATCTGCTCAGCAAACTACAAATGTGGTGGCAGCAAAGGAAAAATCCCAGCTAGCTGGACAGATTGAACACAGGGAGAGCAGTGTGGATTGGAGGCAAAAATAGTAGGCTTGCAAACACAATTAGGTTGAGAGCTCTAATTGTGGCAGAGATGCTTTTTTGGAGGCTCCACACTCCGTGCTCTCCTTTTTTGCTGCTAGTTTTAGAACTGTTTTGGCTTGACATGTGCTGAAGCTGCACATCCCCTTTAGCTCAGATGCTGCCAGACACTGACTTTGGACTGACAGATCCTTGCAAACTTGGTTGCATCCTAAGGGTGGAGTCAGCTTAACTTTATTTTAATTTTTTTTATTGCTTTTGGGTTCACAAGAGTGATGCTGAGATGCACTGACAACATGAGTGTGTTCAGGTCTCTTGTCAGCTTAATGAGTTTATTTTTTGCTGGGTGGTTGACAGTCAGCCAAAAGAAACAAAAAATTACTTAGGCCAAGAACAGCTTCTTGGCTGGTTTTTCATAAAAAGATCAGTCAGGAGGAAGAGGAAACACTAGAGATGGGTATTTTTAATATCAGTTTTCCATAATGGTGTAAAAATGTGGATCTCTTTATTTTGCTCTCTCTGAACCATAAACACATTAAAGGTGGGGTGAGGTCTGTTCTGTTGCCACAATATCCAGAAAAAAGTTTTGTGCCACCCTTGGGGCGCTGCAGGATTTGTGATGTCTAAAGCTTTTCCTGGTTAACCCTTGGGAGCTAATCCACAGTAATTAAATGTTTATTGAAATAGTGAGATGGGCTGTGGAATGGTTAGGACATGGGTGGATGAGGGAAATCAGTGTTTGATTACACAAAAGGAACCTTTAAGGAAGGACTGAAAACCACATTGCCCAGAGAAATGCCATAGGAAGTGTATCAAGGGCAAATCCTGGATGTGTGGACACACTGGGGAATGATATCCAGCTCAGGATATTCTGTGACTCTATAAAATAAGACACTGGAGTTTAAACACTTCAGGTGTGCTTGAAATTACTGCTGAGAATTGCACAGACTGATTGTGTCTTCAAAATTTTTGAGTGACCTTCTACACTCACTCCTTGGCTGGGCTGGTTTGGATGTTTCTCTTTCATTGCTGTTTTTCGTTAATAAGTTGTTTTTCATTGGGGTGAAAGCAAGATCATGTAAATGAGGAAAGAATTTTGAAATCACTCTTTAAAAAAACGTGGTTTTAATAATTTCCACCTTGATTTAATTAGAAATTGGAATGGAAGTGCTGCAATGCTCAGGTATGGGAAATACAGCAAAGCACAGCTGCTGTGGGACAGGTACATCACAGCAGCACTTTAACAGCTTCAGGTACTTAGAGGTCCTTTTATTAAGAGGAAAACAAATAAATACAAAAAAAGAAAGTCCTGTGTCTGAGCAGGTAAAACTCCTTTATGTATTAAAATAAAACTAAAGCACCCATACTGAATTTAAACTCTGGTCTTCACTTAATCCTCTTTTTGCAGTAAATTCAGTGCCTCGAATCTGAAATCCATTTCTCCAATTTCAAGAAATGTGCAAAACATGAGGAACACTTAACAAGGACTGAGTAGAAAGATTTATTTTACCAGGAGCCTCTTCCAGTGTTGCAGATGTTTTCTGGCTGTCTTGTTTAAGGGACTACTTTGGGTATTCAGATTATGCAAGATTAAATCCTTGATCCTCTGAAATTAATTACAGAATTTTCATCAGTGTTGCAAAGCTCTTACCCTACACTTCTGGAGCTGGTTCTGCCTTTGGCTGGGGATTGTTTCTGTGTGTTTTAAGTGGAGCTGGAGCCAGTGCTGTGTGCTGTTACAGTGATGCATAAATTGCTTCTATCTCTGGAAAACTCAAATGTTTTTCTGTGTTACCTTGTAGAGCAGTCATGAGCACTGATTGTGTCTGTTACATGCTTTTGAAAGCAAATGATTTATGTGAGCAGCAGGTT